ACACACACACACACACACACACACATAGAGAGGTACTCGTGTACTCGCCTGAGACTAGATTGCATACCCACAGACATGCTAGTCTGAACGCCATCCGGAGAAGTATTTGGGGGGGAACAACAACAAACTGGGAATAAAGCAAGTGGGAAATGATGGGGGACTCCGTAGTGGGCCGTCTGTATGTATGAATGTGTATTTATGTATGTATATATGTGCGTGTGTGTGTATGCATGTATGCATATAGGTGGTTGAGTTGGTGGGCTTGCCGGTAGAGCTTATTTTCTGCGACGGAGGAGTCGGAGCAACGGAAATGTGTGCAGAGGTCGTTGGGGTGAGTCGATGAAAGGCTGAGCTGAAAGACAAAGCAACCTACGGGCTCGAATGACGAGGCCGAGGCAAGAGTGAATGGGCCATAGGGCCCGAGAGGTTGATAGCTGGACCGGTTCGTCAATCCATCCGTGTGTAGCGATGGCGTTCGGTTTTCTATCGCACCGTCTGTCTCACTTGGCCGAGCACAAGCACCTCCCATTTCTGTGTGCTGTGCTTCCTGTACCTCGTTCGTACACGCTCTCTTTCTCTTCTGCTCTCTCCGCCTCTGGCTGGCAGCAGTCGGGCCGATTGACGTTCGCCTTTTTCCCCATCTCGTCGTCTTCCTTGCCGCTTTTCCCATTCATGAAAACTTTGTCCTTTGTCAACGCTTCTTCCACTTCCTCGATTCCATTGGCCTGAGGAGGCTGGCATTGGCACAATCCACTTCCTCTTTCGCCTCGTCCGAAATCCGCTTTACACCTACTCTCTCTCACGGCAACGGCGACGGCGACGGCGACGGTTGCGAGGATGGCGGAAGACGCGGAGACGCGGAGACGCGGAGACAAATGTCGTGCCTCCGAAGCAACATTTGGCCCTCTCGGTCCGTGCATTCTGGCGTCAGACTCGGTCTACACTCTCTTCCCTCCAGTTGACCGGACAAGTAGGCGTCTTGACTACCGGCCCGGCTGGGCCACGAACTCTGCCGGCCTGAGCCGCTCAAAGGGATTTAAGGACGGCCGAGTTCAGTGTGCCCACAATCAGTTGAGTAGCAGTCAGTGCGATTGCTCACTCGACAATCCCACTTTGGAAATGTGGCTTGCCAATTGTCAAGTGGCTGTCGTGAAAGTCGCATCTGCCGAGTGGTGGCCGAGTGATGGAGTGAAGTGGAGTGAAGTGTAGGCATGGGCACAATATTAACGAACTGGTATCGAATCCCCGTCGAGGGGCTAGGCCAAAAGGCCAGTCTGGAGAAGAAAGTGAAACTCGCATGGTATAATGAGGTGTACTCGGCTGATTGTGGCGAAAACCCAAGAGCAGTCGCAAACTCACCTCACGTGAATTAGGCTGATTAGTCTTTTTTGCGAGGCATTAATGATAGTCTCAAAAGCTAATTTATCTAAAATTCTTCAATGAGTAATTAGTCAGCTTAGGTCACTTAAAGTGATTTAAGCACGGGCAGTTGAGATTTTCCACAATCGGGTGGCTAAGTCCCATGTCAATTGAGCCATTATAGTCAAAGATGTTACTTATTTGCCAAATAAGTAGTATTCGAGACTATCAATAAGTCATGGATTAATTTTGAATTTCACTCCTGGGCTATGACTCATTGGCCTTTGTGGCTGTCTAATAGAGGGATAAGGTGTCGTGATGAGACCGAAGCGAGGTAGAAATGGTATTCTTGTCCAATATGGGGTTAGAAAGAGCCAATCAGTCGGATTGTAAAGCCTAGACTGACTAAGTTATTGTTTGAAAGTATGAAGACCAAGATGGTGTGGTCTTTTTTATGGTCGCAGTCTCCTTCCATTGTATACAATTTGTTTGACCTTGTTTTCGCAACTTGGTCATATTGGTAGGAAGACTTAGAGGAAACGCACCTTGTCCTGAGTCCATTTTATGCATAATTATTTCCAAAGTCGGACCGTGGACGCGGAACATTCCCAAACGTTTCGCCGACATCGTAGTCGGCATCGTCAGTGGGTCTCACCATTCGTAGCACCATATTACAACTCGTCAAAGAATGACTGAAGCTGATCCTTTGACCAAACGTGTGCTACACAGTTATGGTATCTCACCTTCTGCCCTGACCTATTCACATTTCCTATATCCTTCTATCATGCCTTCCCTGTCACAGATCTCACCTTCTGCCCTGGCCTATTCACATTTCCTATATCCTTCTATCATGACTTCCCTGTCACAGTTGTTGTTGTGTGCCCCTTCGAGCAGTATTCATTAAAACCATTCACACTCCACACTGTCTTTGTCACCCCTTTCACCCTTGTGATGGGAATTGTTAC